ACAGAGACTTTAGGGCAACAGAATCGTTACTTAGGGACACAGAATCGTTACTTAGGGACACAGAATCGTTACTCAGGGACACAGAATGTTACTCAGGGACACAGAATTGTTACTCAGGGACACAGAATCGTTACTCAGGGACAGACACAGAATTGTTACTCAGGGACACAGAATTGTTACTGAGGGACACAGAATCGTTACTCAGGGACACAGAATTGTTACTCAGGGACACAGAATCGTTACTCAGTGGGACACAGAATTGTTACTCAGGGACACAGAATTGTTACTCAGGGACAGACACAGAATTGTTACTCAGGGACACAGAATTGTTTACTCAGGGACACAGAATTGTTACTGAGGGACACAGAATCGTTACTCAGGGACACAGAATTGTTACTCAGGGACACAGAATTGTTACTCAGGACACAGAATTGTTACTAGAGGGACACAGAATCGTTACTGAGGGACACAGAATTGTTACTCAGGGACACAGAATTGTTACTCAGGGACAGACACAGAATTGTTACTCAGGGACACAGAATCGTTACTGAGGGACACAGAATCGTTACTCAGGGACACAGAATTGTTACTCAGGGACACAGAATTGTTACTCAGGACAGACACAGAATTGTTACTGAGGGACACAGAATTGTTACTCAGGGACACAGAATCGTTACTGAGGACACAGAATTGTTACTCAGGGACACAGAATTGTTACTGAGGGACACAGAATTGTTACTCAGGGACACAGAATCGTTACTCAGGGACACAGAATTGTTACTGAGGGACACAGAATCGTTACTCAGGGACACAGAATTGTTACTCAGGGACACAGAATTGTTACTCAGGGACACAGAATCGTTACTGAGGGACACAGAATCGTTACTCAGGGACACAGAATTGTTACTCAGGACACAGAATTGTTACTCAGGGACACAGAATCGTTACTGAGGGACACAGAATCGTTACTCAGGGACACAGAATTGTTACTCAGGGACACAGAATTGTTACTCAGGGACACAGAATTGTTACTCAGGGACACAGAATCGTTACTCAGGGACACAGAATTGTTACTCAGGGACACAGAATCGTTACTCATGGACACAGAAAGAATCGTTGAATTAAAGAGTATGTCAGACAACACGCAGAGGAGTGGCAGAGGAGGCAATGTTTTCAGGAGCGAGCAGACGTGGCAGCAGAGGAAGGGGTCGAGGCAGCACTAGTCGCAGCCAGAGGCCAGTGCTCCCGTGTCATCCAGTCGTCGTGTCTCCACCGACAACCCTGCCGTCATCGATTGGTTGGCTCGGTTCGTCTTCCTCTTCCCAGGTCACCTCTGACACCTACAGCCAACGGTCGGTGGGTACGTCAGACACAACCGTTAGTTGGCATGGCCCGGGAGCAAGCCCACTGAAATCACGTGTCCTCTACCTGCCCCTGTCCTTTGGTGTTCCCTCACCAAGCGAAGTATCGCATGCTGTGGGCTCAGCCCACTGTACAGTGAGGAAGAGCTAACAGAGGGCGGTCAGGAACGGGGGGGAGTGGCTCGGTAGCGGTCTAGAGACAGGTCTGTCTCCTGACCCCACACGCAGCCGAGGGGGCTAGTAGTGAGGCGGAGACCCTAATTGATGATGATGAGGCTGATCGCACTTGGCAGCCTCGTCGTCATCAGGCTATTGCTTCCGCATCATCAGGAGAAGAGGGTGCCAGCTTGGCAGCGAGCAAAACAGTCGGTGGGTTGCCCAGGAGGCAGCAGGGTCGCAGCAGTGTCAGTGGAGGCAAACGGCCACGGAGTAGAGCACCAGCTCCACTGCAGCCTACCACCACGGCCAGTAGTGGTGCCGGTGTGCACGGAGGAAGTAGCAGTCAGCCAGTGAGGAGTAGCGGGGGCAAAGTTTCCTACTCGCGGTGTGGCAATTTTTCGTCAAGCCGCCCGAGGAAGTAAACGTAGCCGTATGTCGACTATGTGGCCAGAAAGTCAAGCGTGGCCAGTCAGGGGCCCATGTTGGGACTACAGCGTTGCGTCAGCATATGCAGCGTCGCCATTCGGTGGCCTGGGGAAACCGTGATAAAGATACGGCGGTTTCTGCCTGCCCCAGCCCCCGCTCCATCACCCGCTCCGTTACTTGCTCCGTCACCCGACGTCAATCGCCCTCTATCAGCCAGTCAAGGCTCCAACACCTCTGCTGAGGGGAGTTGTCGCTCGTTGGCATCTTCCGCTCGTTCAGATGCTCCTTCTCCTGCTACTCCTCTTCACGGATTCCGTCAGCAGTCTTTCTTGGAATCCGTTTCCAAGAGACAACAGTTTGCGAGCACGCACCCGACGGTGCAGAAGCTGAACGTCCTCCTGTCCAAGTTGCTGGTGCTGCAGTCCCTCCCTTTCCAAGTGGTGGACTCAGCACCTTTCCGAGAAATGATGGCTTGTGCCGCGCCGCGGTGGAGAGTGCCAAGCCGGCATTTCTTCGCCAAAACATAAAAGGCCAGCCAGCCCTGCATTCACATGTAGAAGAGATGGTGGGCCAGTCTTTGAGCATGTCGGTCTCTGCCAAAGTGCACGGCAGCGCCGACGTGTGGAGCTGTAACTACGGTCAGGGACAGTACATGTCATTTACGGCCCACTGGGTGAACGTGGTGCCGGCACAGCCGCACCAGCAACTTGGACAGGTCACGCCGCTTTTGCCTCCACGTTTGCACGTCCTTGGTCCAGCAAAGATGTCCGCCTCTACCACCTCTTCTTCCGCCGTGTCCTCAGCCGCCACCCCCGTGCCAAGTCCCATTACCCGACCGGCATATCACATGTGCAGGGCGCAACGGTGTCACGCTGTGCTGCACCTGGTATGCCTTGGCGAACGTAGTCACACAGGGGAGGAACTTCTGAGTGTAATGAACAGAGAAATCGACAGATGGCTGTCTCCGCGCAAACAAATGGAAACCATGTTGTCCGCGCAAACTGAAAATCGGAACCATGTTGACCGACAACGGAAAGAACATGGTGTCTGCTCTGCGTCAAGGAAGGTTGTGCCATGCGCCATGCATGGCTCACGTGTTCAATCTGGTTGTCAAGCGGTTCCTAAAATCCACCATCCCACTGCAAGACATCCTTAAAATGTCACGTAAACTTTGCATGCATTTCAGCCATTCCTACACCGCAAAGCACACCCTCCTTGAGCTGCAGCGGCAGAACGGAATTCCACAGCATCGCCTGATCTGCGACGTTGCAACAAGGTGGAATTCAACCCTACATATGTTAGACCGCCTTTACGAACAGCGAAAGGCCATCACCGATTTCCTGATGTTACAAGCGGATAAAGGTACTCCCCTGTGTAACTTCGATGTCAGCCATTGGCAGCTCATGCGTGACACCTGCCGCTTGCTCAGGCCCTTTGAGGAGGCCACGCTATTCGTGAGTCGGCAGGACTATGGGATGAACGACGTCATTCCTCTGTTGCACACGTCCTGGAACAAATGCTGTTAACAATGGCTGGTCAGGGTGCGGTAGACGTGGCGCACAGATCTCAAAGCCACATGACCCCTGTGGGGGCAGGACAGGAAGAAGAGGAGGAGGTAGAGGAGGACATTGGTGCTCAGGAATTATTGAGTGAAATGGGTGGTTTTTTTTCCACTCAGCGGACAGGAGTGGAGGAGCAGGAGCATCTGGTAGAGGAGGAGGAGGAGGAGACAGAGGACCCAGACGCACCGTGGCAGTATGCTGTGGAGATGGAGGCAGGGAGTCCCTCGCATTCCTTGGCACAAATGGCCCATAGCATGCTCGGTTGCTTGCGTAGCGACAGCCGAATAATAACCATCAGACAGAGGGATGACTTTTGGCTGTCCACCTTGTTGGACCCTCGCTACCGTTCAAAAATGGTGGCCTTTTTCACACCTGCTGAGAGGGAGGCCAAAATAACGTACTATAAAAACCACCTATGTAGTCAGTTGGTCTCTGCCTTTCTGCGCCAACGTCCATCCTCAGACACTGTGGGCCCTGTGCGCTCGCGTTCCGCTGCCATGGCAGCAGGGGGAGGGGTGGGGTGGTAGGAGCAGTGGCAGCTCCACCAGCAGCGGCTGCCTCAGTCTGCAGTCGATGATGAGTAGCTTTCTTCACCAGCGCAGTGAGGAAACTACTAACCAGCCGCGCAGCAGCAGCAGCATCAGGTGGACCTGGAGCAGGACCTCAAACAACAGGCTTGGGCCTACTTGGACAGCACCCTGCCAACCGAGGTAGACAATCCCCTTGACTACTGGGCAACGAAACTTGACCTTTGGCCCCAACTAGCTGAATTTGCCCTTGAAAGGCTGTCATGCCCGGCCAGTAGCGTGGCATCGGAGCGCGTGTTTAGTGCGGCAGGAGGTATTGTAACTCCGCGGAGGACACGACTGTCCACCCAAAGTGTGGAGAGACTCACGTTTGTGAAAATGAATCAGGCGTGGATTAGTCTGGATTTCAAACCACCAGTTCCTGACACAACTGACTAAATCCGCCATGAATCATGCCCCAAACATGTTATTATTTTTAACTTAGGCCTCTGTATGGCCTTCAATTTAAGCTGCTTACGCTTCGCCACTCTGCCATGGGCCCCTGTACCGCCTCCTCTTGCTGCTGTCATGTCCAGAGTGTGTCATGGGTCCCTGTACGGCCTCCCATTGCTGCTGTCTCCATCGCCACACTCTGCCATGTGCCACTTTCAGGTGTCCTCACACTGCTGGTGGGTTCCATTTTGTCATAGGGTGCTGGCAGATTACGGGCCTCCCATTGCTGCTGCCAGGCCCGTAATCTGCCATGGACCCCCGTACCGACTCCTCATGCTGCTGCCAGGCCCGTAATCTGTCATGGGCCCCTGTACCGCCTCCTCATGCTGCTGCCAGTCCCAGAGTGTGTGTTGGGTCCCTGTACGGCCTCCCATTTGCTGCTGCCAGGCCCGTAATCTGCCATGGGGCCCCCGTACCGACTCCTCATGCTGCTGCCAGGCCCGTAATCTGTCATGGGCCCCTGTACCGCCTCCTCATGCTGCTGCCAGGTCCAGAGTGTGTCATGGGTCCCTGTACGGCCTCCCATTGCTGCTGTCTCCATCGCCACACTCTGCCATGTACCACTTTCACGTCTCCTCACACTGCTGGTGGGTTCCATTTTGTCATAGGGTGCTGGCAGATTACGGGCCTCCCATTGCTGCTGCCAGGCCCGTAATCTGCCATGGGCCCCCGTACCGACTCCTCAGCTGCTGCCAGGCCCGTAATCTGTCATGGGCCCCTGTACCGCCCGCCTCCTCATGCTGCTCCACCCAGGTCCAGAGTGTCTCATGGGTCCCTGTACGGCCTCCCATTGCCTAGCTGCTGTCTCCTCGCCACACTCTGCCATGTGCCACTTTCAGTCTCCTCACACTGCTGGTGGGTTCCAACTTTTTTGTCATAGGGCTGCTGTATGGCCTCCCATTGCTGCTGCCAGGCCCGTAATCTGCCCATTGGGCCCCCCCCCCGTACCGACTCCTCATGCTGCTGCCAGAGGCCCCGTAATCTGTCATGGCCCCTTTTACCGCCTCCTCATGCTGCTGCCAGGTCCAGAGTGTGTCATGGGTCCCTGTACGGCCTCCCATTGCTGCTGTCTCCTTCGCCACACTCTGCCAGGTCATGGGAAGTGCCACTTTCAGGTCTCCTCACACTGCTGGTGGGTTCCTACGTAATTTTGTCCATAGGGTGCTGCAGATTACGGCTCCCATTTCTGCTGCCAGGCCCCTAATCTGCCATGGGCCCCCGTACGACTCCTCATTGCTGCTGTCGTCCAGGCCCGTAATCTGTCATGGGCCCCTGTACCCCCCGCCTCCTCATTGCCTTGCTGCTGCCAGGTTCCAGAGTGTGTCATGGGTCCCTGTTACGGCCTCCCATTGCTGCTGCCAGGCCCGTAATCTGCCATGGGCCCCCGTACCGACTCCTCATGCTGCTGCCAGGCCCGTAATCTGTCATGGGCCCCCTGTACCGCCTCCTCATGCTGCTGCCAGGTCCAGAGTGTGTCATGTGGTCCCTGTACGGCCTCCCATTGCTGCTGTCTCCATCGCCACACTCTGCCATGTGCCACTTTCAGGTCTCCTCACACTGCTGGTGGGTTCCATTTTGTCATAGGGTGCTGGCAGATTACGGGCCCCCATTGCTGCTGCCAGGCCCGTAATCTGCCATGGGCCCCCTTACCGACTCCTCATGCTGCTGCCAGGCCCGTAATCTGTCATGGGGCCCCTGTACCACCTCCTCATGCTGCTGCCAGGTCCAGAGTGTGTCATGGGTCCCTGTACGGCCTCCCATTGCTGCTGTCTCCATCGCCACACTCTGCCATGTGCCACTTTCAGGTCTCCTCACACTGCTGGTGGGTTCCATTTTGTCATAGGGTGCTGGCAGATTACGGGCCTCCCATTGCTGCTGCCAGGCCCGTAATCTGCCATGGGCCCCCGTACCGACTCCTCATGCTGCTGCCCAGGCCCGTAATCTCTGTCATGGGCCCCTGTACCGCCTCCTCATGCGGTTGCTGCTGCCAGGTCCAGAGTGTGTCATGGGTCCCCTGTACGGCCTCCCATTGCTGCTGCCAGGCCCGTAATCTGCCATAGGGCCCCCGTACCGACTCCTCATGCTGCTGCCAGGCCCGTAATCTGTCATGGCCCCTGTACCGCCTCCTCATGCTGCTGCCAGGTCCAGAGTGTGTCATGGGTCCCTGTACGGCCTCCCATTGCTGCTGTCTCCATCGCCACACTCTGCCATGTGCCACTTTCAGGTCTCCTCACACTGCTGGTGGGTTCCATTTTGTCATAGGGTGCTGTATGGCCTCCCATTGCTGCTGCCAGGCCCGTAATCTGCCATGGGCCCCCCCGTACCGACTCCTCATGCTGCTGCCAGGCCCGTAATCTGTCATGGGCCCCTGTACCGCCTCCTCATGCTGCTGCCTGTTAGGTCCAGAGTGTGTCATGGGTCCCTGTACGGCCTCTCCCATTGCTGCTGTCCTCCATCGCCACACTCTGCCATGTGCCACTTTCAGTCTCCTCACACTGCTGGTGGGTTCCATTTTGTCATAGGTGCTGGCAGATTACGGAGCCTCCCATTGCTGCTGCCAGGCCCGTAATCTGCCATGTGGCCCCCTTACCGACTCCTCATGCTGCTGCCAGGCCCGTAATCTGTCATGGGCCCCTGTACCACCTCCTCATGCTGCTGCCAGGTCCAGAGTGTGTCATGGGTCCCTGTACGGCCTCCCATTGCTGCTGTCTCCATCGCCACACTCTGCCATGTGCCACTTTCAGGTCTCCTCACACTGCTGGTGGGTTTTCCATTTTGTCATAGGGTGCTGGCAGATTACGGCCTCCCATTGCTGCTGCCAGGCCCGTAATCTGCCATGGGCCCCCCGTACCGACTCCTCATGCTGCTGCCAGGCCCGTAATCTGTCATGGGCCCCTGTACCGCCTCCTCATGCTGCTGCCAGGTCCAGAGTGTGTCATGGGTCCCTGTACGGCCTCCCATTGCTGCTGCCAGCCCCGTAATCTGCCATGGGCCCCCGTCACCGACTCCTCATGCTGCTGCCAGGCCCGTAATCTGTCATGGGCCCCTGTAACCGCCATCCCTCATGCTGCTGCCAGGTCCCCAGAGTGTGTCATGGGTCCCTGTACGGCCTCCCATTGCTGCTGTCTCCATGCCACCACACTCTGCCATGTGCCACTTTCAGGTCTCCTCACACTGCTGGTGGGTTCCATTTTGTCATAGGGTGCTGCCATGTGGCCTCCCATTGCTGCTGCCAGGGCCCGTAATCTGCCATGGGCCCCCCGCCGTACCGACTCCTCATGCTGCTGCCAGGCCCGTAATCTGTCATGGGCCCCTTTTACCCGCCTCCTCATGCTGCTGCTGCCAGGTCCAGAGTGTGTCATGGGTCCCTGTACGGCCTCCCATTGCTGCTGTCTCCATCGCCACACTCTGCCATGTGCCACTTTCAGAGTCTCCTCACACTGCTGCTGGGTTCCATTTTTTCATAGGGTGCTGTATTGCCTCCCATTGCTGCTGCCGATTCCACCGCCACACTGTGTCTCCACACTCTGGTTTTGGCCCCGTGACTGCCCAAATGAGTGAAGTGTGCGGTGATTCTAAGATCGACGGCACTCATCTGCATGTCATACTGACTGACAGTATTATTTCTCTTCCCCAGCAGACTCCCAAGGGCATTTAAATTAAAGGTACAGTGTTCTGCACTAATATAAAGGCTCTCTGAAGCCTAGAAACACCCTTTTTATAAGTTAAATTCGCAGCGAATATATTCGACTCGAATCAAATTTATTCCGCGAATTCGCCGAATCAGCCGAATCGAATTTTTGAATAATTCGTCTCATCTCTAAAAGTCACTTTTCTAGTCCATGCTTGTACTGATTAGGTGAGTTTGATTTACTAAAGACACAGAGGCAGTTCACCAAGTGTAAGGGAACTGCAAAAATTTCAGAGCATAGTGAATAAAGTGAAGCTCTGCTGACTTTCATCATCCAATCAATCATGTACAAGCAAAAATGCTATTTTTTTTTTCTTGCTTGTGATTGGGTATTTTTTGCACATTCACTAAGATCTGAGGGCTAATTCCTTCAAAAAGTGCAATTTCCCTTGCAAAAATGAACATTCTATTCATTTTTTAGTAAATCGAGCCCAGTGGCTAAGTCAGACTTAAATTCAGAGATATTTAACATGTGAAGTAACTAGGGTTGTCTACGATGGCAGCCCCAATATTTCTCTCTGAAACAGGTTTGCTTAACTGTCAGTCTAGGGTTCTTTGCCACATGTTCACAATGATTTTTGTAGGACAGTAATTTCTAGGAAGAAATAGCAATGACATTAAATGCCTTTCAGTTTGTGAAATCTCTGACTGTAGACTAATGAAGGATGAGGTCTAAATAAAATTGTTTTATAGACCTTTTCTGTCTTTTGTGGACTTCCAACAACGTTTTTTTTCTGAGGTCTCTGTAATCTGTTTTGATTGGGTTATATTGCATCTGAACAGAAACCTTTTTTGAGGAGCAGGTAAAGAAAGTTGTTAGATTTTTTTACAGGACAAGGTCAAATGCACACTTGCATTAATTAAAATAAACTCTGACATGTGTCTGAACTGCCTGACTCCAATTACCCTCTGTTAAAAATGTCATTATCTTAAAGGTACTTTTTCCAAGATTGACACCTATTGTGCAAACCATTTTTTTGTTCAATAAGGTATTGGGCCAAGTACAAGGTTGGTATTTGGGGTCTGTTAAATAAGAGTGCATTTATCATTATGTCATTATGAGAATATGATCACATTTTAGAAACCATAAAGTAGAAAAAAAAACAAAAACATTCCCAATTACTCAAGAACCTTTTCTCACAGCTCTCCATTAACCCATTTGTACCTAGAGATCATTGATGCCTAGATGCCCAGAATCAGATTTAGCAGGATATGTATAAAGGCTGATTGGTTGACCTACTTAAGACCGCACAAGTACATCTCTCACCGCTACCTAACTGTAGCGGATCATCCGAGCAGCCTTAATTCACATACTGACAAGTTCATGCTGGCTTGCACTGTTAAATATGGGTGATTTTATATTTTCTTAAAAAAAATGATGTTTATATTGTATGCGATGGTCTGCTTTGCTTTACAGATACTCCTCAACTTAACGACTGAATTCTGCTTTAATGACGTTAAGCGAATTGGTCAGTAAGCAAGGAACTATATGCATTACACATACCGTCAGAGAGCTGGTCGTAAGTCTAAGAGACGGATTGTTAAGCAAGGAACTGAGCTGGGTCGTAAGTCTGAAAGACTGTCGTTTAGCGAGAAACTGTGTATATGTACCATTGGAAAGCATGTCGTTAGTCTGAAAGCTGGTCGTTAAATGAGGAATCGCATCCGTCAGAGAGCAGGCTTGCTAAACTGGAAGGTTGTTAAGTGAGGAGTATCTGTATTTTGAATGCTTATGGAGGGTAAGCAAGGAATAGAGAACAGAGGCAGAATAAAATTTCTAATCCCAGTACTGGGCAAAGAAACATTTTGACCTTAAGTATATTATAATTGTATTGTAAAGGGGGGCAGGATTCCAATTTAGGCTACATTCAAACTTATGAATAGGACAGTTAGCGATTAGATTCAGAAGACCCATCAGGGGTTCCTATCAAGTAGCTTTGAGTGAAAAATCTAATTGAAACCATCGTCCCGGGCCTATCATTCATGGGTAAATCACTGCCTGAGTGATTACTGTGTAAGCAGCCATTATTATTATTGTCAGTCTCCCATTGCTTTTCACTGGTGCTGGGAACCCCCTCTGGATCTTCAACCTATAATCACTACCAGCCCCATTTGCAAGTATGAATGATGCCTTATGGTGAAGGTGAAACATCTTAAGGGTGGAGTCGCACACTAGTGAATTTATTTGGAAGATATGTATGTGTATGACATTGAAATAATAATGTTTTTTGACATGTAATGAAAGATTTGAAAGAATTTCTAAAAACACTTATAACATAATGAGGTTGATTTACTAAATCTGGAGAGTGCAAAAATCAGGTGTTGTCCCACATTTCGCACTCTCCAGTTTTAGTAAATCAACCCCTATGTGTTTTTACGTGTGTTTTTTTTTTTTTTATGGTTGGTGATATGAATTGACACTAACAATATTTGTAATGTTTTGATTTGCCTTTTTACATATCAAACTTATGATAATACATCAGACACACTTCTTGTTCAAACTTTTTATTGGTATTATAACATGGGGAGGGGGGACATTAACAGTAGGCATTGGACAGTACATTGACAGCAAAATACAGGGGTAAAAAAAAATGCACAGTTTCAATGTTCTTATATAGAGGGGAGAGAGAGAGGCTCAAAGAAACAGTGCAGCATAACTTATGGTATTGAGTAAATAAAAATTTAGTAGTAGAAAGAAACAACAACAAACCATAATGAGTTCAATCAGCGTAAGTAATGACTCTCCAGTGCTGCATGTGGAGCTAAGGATAGACTGGGGGGGGGGGGGAAGGGTGATAGAGATGACTCCATGGATAACAGGGAGGACATAATCCTTTGTGTGTTCGGTTAAGAGTTTTGGTACCAGGTTAGTGTTGAAAATGCGCACTTTCACACTATGCATATTAGGGAAGGAGGAGTGATTCCGTCAAAATGTTGCGGAGGAAATGTTCTACCCAAGGGTTCCAAACACTCAGGAACTTAGGGATTGTATCAAGGATAGTGGCTTCCACCTTTGCGTGTATCATAGCTTGAGTAACCCTAGTGTTAACATGCGGCTATGCTTAAAGTGGGGATCTTCCAAGATTTTGCTATAACTTGATTTTGGCCGCTGTGGTTATTTGCAGGATGAGTTTGAATTGCGGAGTGGT